CATTCTACCTCCACACCCCATCATACACCCATTCCTGCCTCCACACCCCATCACATACCCATTCTACCGTCACACCCCATCATACACCATTCTGCCGTCCACCCCATCACACACCCATTCTGCACACCCCATCACACACCCATTCCTACCGTCACACCCCATCACCACCCATTCCTACCGTCACCCCATCACACACCCATTCCTGCCTCCACACCCAATCCACACACCATTCCTACCGTCACACCCATCACACACCCATTCCTGCCTCCACCCATCACACACACACCCATTCCTGCCGTCACACCCCATCATACACCCATTCCTGCCGTCACACCCCATCACACACCCATTCCTACCGTCACACCCCATCACACACCCATTCCTACCTCCACACCCCATCACACACCCATTCCTACCGTCACACCCCATCACACACCCATTCCTGCCTCCACACCCCATCACACACCCATTCCTCCCGTCACACCCCATCACACACCCATTCCTACCTCCACACCCCATCACACACCCATTCCTACCCACACCCCATCACACACCCATTCCTACCGTCACACCCCATCACACACCATTCCTACCTCCACACCATCACACACCCATTCCTACCGTCACACCCCATCACACACCCATTCACACCCCATCACACACCCATTCCTACCGTCACACCCCATCACACACCCATTCCTGCCTCCACACCCCATCACACACCCATTCCTACCGTCACACCCCATCACACACCCATTCCACCTCCACACCCCCATCACACACCCATTCTGCCTCCTCACCCCATCACACACCCATTCCTACCGTCACACCCCATCACACACCCATTCTACCGTCACACCCCATCACACACCCATTCCTACCGTCACACCCCATCACACACCCATTCTACCGTCACACCCATCACACACCTATTCCTACCTGTCACACCCCATCACACACCCATTCCTGCCTCCACACCCCATCACACACCCATTCCTACCGCCACACCCCATCACACACCCATTCCTACCTCCACCCCCATCACACACCCATTCCTACCCACACCCCATCACACACCCATTCCTACCGTCACACCCCATCACATACCCATTCCTACCTCCACACCCCATCACATACCCATTCCTACCCACACCCATCACACACCCATTCCTACCGTCACACCCCATCACACACCCATTCCTACCTCCACACTCGAGACTAGACCTGACCACATACTTATCCTCGCACTCCAAGGTCTCGTGTTCGTGTTGTCAGGACGGTCGACGTCATCAGGGGCGATTGACTGTGTAACAAGATCTGGCCTCAGTAAGGCACATCGGTAGGTACGGAAAGGCCAGCGACAGGTACGGATTCCCTTGAACGTGTCAGTGAAGAGCCCAGGTTACATGGGTGTGAAAGGACAGGTAATGGGAAACAAAATGGGTGTGAAAGGACAGGTAACATGGGTGTGAAAGGACAGGTAGCGTATGTGGAAAGCACTGTATCGTATGTGGAAAGCACTGGTATCGTAGGTGTGGAAGGACAGGTAACGAGGTGTGATGGACAGTGTAGGGGGTATCGTAGGTGTGAAAGTACAGATAACGTAGGTGTGAAAGCACTGGTATCGTAGGTGTGAAAGTACAGGTAACGTAAGTGTGGAAGGACAGGTAACGTAGGTGTGGAAGTACAGGTAACGGAGGTGTGGAAGGACAGGTATTAGGTATCGTAGGTGTGAAAGTACAGGTAACGTAGGTGTGAAAGTACAGGCAAAGTAGGTGTTAACGTCAAGGTATCGTAGGTGTGAGAGGAGCAGCAATAGCGTTGTGACACTCAATAACCAAATATATATTTTATTGTGGTGTTGTGGGTATGTATTTCGCTGTATAGTTTCTGTGTGTGTATTGTGATTTATGAGTTGTATGTATGGAGTGTTGTATGTATAGACTGTTGTTTGTATAGACTGTTGTATGTATGGAGTGTTGTATGCATGGAGTGTTGTTGTTGTGGTTGTTGTTAGTAGTTGGTGTAATATTTTTAGGTGTTATGGTAGAGTAAACGATTATTATAAGCATTGCTTCCCTCTGTCTCTCTCTCTCTCTACACACACACACACACACACACACACACACACACACACCAGTCAGTTAAGTGCGATTACTCATTAATGGCACAACTACCCCCACCCCTCCCTTCCCTCCCCCCTCCAAAAAAAAAAATCGAAATACAAAAAAAAAGTTCCGCCAATAGCGTACATATTTTACCACCACATCAAAGTAACTCTGCACAAATCATTTCATCACTTTAGCGTCAACAATATTACCCTTCCTTTCACGCTGCTCATCTTTAAACTCTCACCAATGTTGTGTTTTATTGGTGATATTCTGATTCAGCATTTAATTGTTACGTGGGATCATTTTTTTTTTAGTCTTTTCTTCTTCCGTGTGTTTGTGTATTTGTAAGTTATGCTGGATACAAGAGAAGCTATTCAGATGTTGTCGTGGTTTTTGTGTGGTTGGGGGGAATTTTGTGCGGTGGGCGACTATGGAATGACTTCATGTTTGTTTACCTAGGCCAAAGTTGAACAAGCTGAGGGTGGGGGGAAGGGGCGGGAGGGGGTGATAAATATTCTTCTCTTGGATATTTCGCCTTGGGTGAGCTTCCCACAGAATACACGTTAATTACGATACAAAGGTTAGTGACCAAAGGTGACATGATCTTATAGCGCAGGTGGTGGCCGTGTGCAGCGGAGCGTTGCTATGTGGTGCTTGGTCTAGGTGGTAGGGGGAGGGGTATGTGGTGGTAGTGTGGGTGGTAGGGGGTAGTGATAGCTGGTGGTGTGGGTGGTAGTGATGGGTAATGGTGGTGGTCAAGGGATTTTTTAATGGGGGGAGGAGGGGGGGTGAGTGGTGTGATGGTAAGTGGTGGTAGTTGATAGTAGTGGTGATGGGGAATGCGTGTTTGTTGAGTGGTGTGGTATTGGGGAGGCGCTGTGGTAGTATCTATCTATCTATCTATCTATCTATCTATCTATCTATCTATCTATCTATAAGCTAACCATGTTTTCCTATTGATTCTATCTATCTATCTATCTAGAGAGAGAGAGAGAGAGAGAGAGAGAGATTAATCAGACATCAATCAGCATCACTTAAGTTATGCCGTGACAGCTATCATTTAATACCCCAAAACTCGTCTTCATTACCGAGACGACTTAATGAGTGGATCGTCATTAACCTGGTCATTACCTGCTCATCACCTCAAGGCTCGATAGTCAAGATTTGGATCATAATTAAGCTTGTTAGGGAAGGTAGTTGGGGGGGGGGGGTGGAATTGAATATTTTTTTTAGTGGTGGGGAAGGGAGGGAAAGGAGTAGGAAGGGAGGAGGGACGGGAAAGGAGGAAGGATGAGGGACAGGAGAGAGTGGATGGAGAGGGGGAAATGGAGGTAGAGGCAGAGGGAAGGGAAGGGTGGAGGTAGAGGGAGGGGAGGAGAGGGTGTTTTTCAGGGGTGGGGGTGTTTGTATTGTTGCATTGTGAGTTTTGTTATTGTTTAATATGTTTATTTGTTTGTTTATAATTGTTTTTGTTGTCATTGTTAATTTTGTTCGTATTTATTTATTTATTTTATTTTTATTTACTTCACTAGTTAATAGTTTTGAAGATAATAAATTTACCTTGCATATACAGGTGTCTAGATCGTCGGAAAATAATGCTATGATTTTTAAATGATTATGTATACAGTACAGGCATTTTATTCGATGACTGTGTGTGTGTGGGTGTGCGTGTGTGTGTATGTGTTTTCAAGCGCTTTTCCGCAGGGTGGCCGGAAGTAAGAACAAATGCACACATACATTCTCCCTGCATATCCATTTTTATTGTTGTAAAGGATATGTGTGTGTTGTGTTATGTTATTCCCTGTCACAACAACACCCAAAATATGTTGTACCGGTGCCAGAACAGGGCCTTAATAACAGCTCTACCCCTGCCACAACAAGACCTAACTTAACCTAACCTAAAAACACTTTATTTATCACTCAATATTCAACCAAACTTCACTTAAAACACAATACTTATCAAAATACTCAACCAAACTTTACTTAACACACAATACTCATCAAAATACTCAACCAAACTTCACTTAAAACACAATACTTATCAAAATACTCAACCAAACTTTACTTAAAACACAATACTTATCAAAATACTCAACCAAACTTTACTTAAAACACAATACTCACCAAAATACTCAACCAAACTTTACTTAACACACAATACTCACCAAAATACTCAACCAAACTTCGCTTAACACACAATACTCACCAAAATACTCAACCAAAGTGTACTTAACACACAATACTCACCAAAATACTCAACCAAACTTCACTTAACACACAATACTCATCAAAATACTCAACCAAACTTCACTTAAAACACAATACTCATCAAAATACTCAACCAAACTTCGCTTAACACACAATACTCACCAAAATACTCAACCAAAGTGTACTTAACACACAATACTCACCAAAATACTCAACCAAACTTCACTTAACACACAATACTCATCAAAATACTCAACCAAACTTCACTTAAAACACAATACTCATCAAAATACTCAACCAAACTTCACTTAAAACACAATACTTATCAAAATATTCAACCAAACTTCACTTAAAACACAATACTTATCAAAATACTCAACCAAACTTTACTTAAAACACAATACTTATCAAAATACTCAACCAAACTTTACTTAACACACAATACTCACCAAAATACTCAACCAAACTTTACTTAAAACACAATACTTATCAAAATACTCAACCAAACTTTACTTAACACACAATACTCACCAAAATACTCAACCAAGGTGTACTTAACACACAATACTCAGCCGGACACAACATAACACACAATAATTACAAAATATTTCCCGACGCTGAACGAGGAAGAAACAACCTATTTTTTTTACCCAGGACACTTGTAACATCTTGTGATTTGTCTTAAGAGTATCTTACTTTCTGATTTTTTCCCCAGTTCGTCTTACACTCATTTGTTGCCCTTTGACCTAACCTGTTGCTTCTTGACCTGACTTGTTGCTTCTTGATCTGATCTGTTGCTTTTTGGTCTGACCTGTTGCTTTTTGGTTTGACCTGCTGCTTCTTGACCTGATCTGTTGCTTCTTGACCTGATTTGTTGCTTCTTGACCTGATTTGTTGCTGCTTGACCTGATCTGTTGCTTCTTGACCTGATCTGTTGCTTCTTGACCTGATTTGTTGCTTCTTGACCTGATCTGTTGCTGCTTGACCTGATTTGTTGCTTCTTGACCTGATCTGTTGCTTCTTGACCTGATCTGTTGCTTCTTGACCTGATTTGTTGCTTCTTGACCTGATCTGTTGCTTCTTGACCTGACCTGTTGCTTTTTGACCTGATCTGTTGCTGCTTGACCTGATCTGTTGCTGCTTGACCTGACCTGTTGCTTCTTGACCTGATCTGCTTGTTCTTGACCTGACCTGTTGTTTCATGACCTAACCTGTTTCTTCTTAACCTAACCTGTTGTTTCTTGACCTGACCTGTTGCTTCTTGAACCTGATCTGTTGCCTCTTGACCTCACCTTCCTGGAGTCCATTTTATTCTGAACCATCTTGACCTTTGACCTGAATTGTCATGTCCTGTTTTATTTTACATGAATTGACACCTGGCCTCCTCTGACCACCTCTGATCTGTCCTGACCTCTCGATTATTTTTTTTCTTTTAGATACAGATACCCTGGGTCATCTTGGGTCATCTGGTTTATTAGAGATTCTTGGAAGACAAAGGTTATGACAGGTTATTAGAAAATGGTTTGAGGGCAGAGTTAATGGTGGGTAGACTCGTCCAGGAGACAATGTTGGACTGTATATTGAAGAGAGAAGCTCCACGAATTGTATAATAACAGTACAAGGTGATATGATTATACAGGGATCATCAAAAAGAGAATACACCCAAATATTAGGTGTTTATACAGGGTGGTCATAAATTATCTGACCAACTAAAAAAAATTTTTTTAAAAAATATTATAGATTAAACTCGTCTGTTTTATTATACCTTAGCTTATTACACCCTAGCTTATTTCACCTCAACATTTAACCTAACCTAACCTAACCTAACCTAACCTTCTTGCCTTATTTAGATTTCCACATGTACATCTTGTTCCCTCTATAATAATTCCGAAGTTATTTAGTTTTAAAATAGTTCAGCTAATTTATGGGACACCCTGTATACTAAAAAATTAGGTGTTCTTTTTTTATGGCTCTGTATGTATAAGTAAGAGAAGAGGTAATGTGGTTCCTCTTCTGAACACACCTTGTGGCTCTCAGGGTAAACGTAACACTGGGAAGGAGGAGCAGGAGGAGGCTGACCCTACAGGTATGGTAAGGTGAGAGGTGAGGTTGGAAAGGTAACTGTGTGTGTGTGTGTGTGTGTGTGTGTGTGTGGTTAGAAGGTGCGCAGTAGCCTCCTTGGTGGGTGTGGGCGTGGGTTAGGCCTGGTCTACCTCAGGCGTGGTAGCATTGTTAACAGCCCACACAACTCACACACCTGAAGCCCACGGCAGTATAGCTTGAGTGATTTACCTGTGGGAGGTGGGTGAAGGGGGTGGGGGGGTAGTGCTACTTTATTAACCATTCTAACACCTGTTGATTAATGTCAGGTAGTGAATTTTCTTCTTTAACTATTAAAAGTTTACCCGAAGATTAGACACCCTAGTTTATTTCACCTGCAGATTAGCCACCCTAACCTAACCTGACTTACCATAAACTAACCTAACAACCTAACCTAACCTAATCCAATATAACCCAACCCAACCCAACCCCTTCTCTGGCAGCGTTAGGGTAGTTTTATCTCCAGGTGAAATAAGCTGGAGGTGTCTTATCTGTAGGTGCTCCCGATAAACACCTCAACTTGCCACAAGTGAAAGGCCGCAGCGAGCACGACCGGCCACCGGGTAACGAGGAAGTATTGTATATAATGCAGGAACGGACCTTGGGTTTTTTGCTGGTAACATTCAGTAAATACCCACGATTCTACGATACAAGTGGTGATTTTTACCTGACCGCTTTGCCACACACACACACACACACACTACTTACTTTGCTGTTACTCGGGATAGAGTATAATGATAATCCAGTTATGATAAAATTATATAAGTTATTAAGAATGTCACCTTCATTGGTGAGCTCTGAGGTGACTAGAGAGGCCGATACGGGACCGGCAGAGTCGTCCACAGATGTTGCACGTGTGGGGGGCTACATCTAGTGCGGGAGGGGCAGCGGCAACGTTTTTCCGGCGTTGACGCTTGTTTGCCTCGGCATGCAGTCGGGCTAACTCGAAAGTATTGACACCTTCACGTATGGTGCTCCTCCAAGCATTACGGTGTGGAGTAATCGTCTCCCAGGTGAGGGGGTCGATTTGGCACTTTTTCGGGTTTGTCTTAAGACTATCCTTATACCTTTTCAGTTGCTCGCCAGCGTTACGTTTACTGTTCGTGAGGTGACTGTAAAGTAGCTGCTTTGGCAGTCTACTGTCGTCCATGCAGCTAAAATGGCCAGTCCAACGTAGTTATTCATGGATAATGGTATCCTCGATGCTTCTACAGTTGGTGTCAACAAGGATGCTGACATTTGTTCTCTTGTCTTCCCAGCGAACTCAGAGGATGGAATGTACTGTAGACTACGTTGGTGAAAGTTTTCAAGTGCCTTGAGGTGCCTCCTGTATGCGACCCATGTCTCACTGCCATATAGCAGGGTGGGGGGGAACACTGCTTGATATACATGTAACTTTGTAGATAATTTCAGCTCCCTACAGCTGAAGACACGGGTACGGAGTTTGCCAAAGGCTTGAGATGCACATCTGATCCGATGTTGAATCTCTTCATCAATGTTCGTGGTGGTGGACAGGTGGGAGCCGAGATACTGAAAGTGGGTAACATTAGAGAGGGTAGTACCGTTAAGCTGGATGGATGGTGGGGGTGTGGCTGAACCAGGGGCAGGCTGAAAGAGAATCTGAGTCTTACGTACATCCACCTCAAGGCCGAAGTGTGCATACGCATCTGCGTTGGTGTTCAGGATCTCCTGTAGGTCGCGTTCAGTGTGAGCGACAAGGGTGAGGTCGTCTGCATACTGAAGTTCAGTAATGGAAGCTGCCGACAACTTTGTTCCTGCCTGGAGTCGTCTTATGTTGAAAAGACCCTTCATCCGGTACTCGATGTCCACCCCGCCGGCTAAATTGGCACTGGCACGAGTAAGGAAGGCAGCCAAGAAAATGGAAAAGAGAGTTGGTACCAGTACACACCCTTGTTTAACCCCCGTTTGGATGGGGAAGAACTCAGACTGGGTGCCGTTGTGCAGGACACTGCCGTTCATGCCATCGTGGAGTTGCCTCACAATGTGTGTGTGTGTGTGTGTGTGTGTGTGTGTGTGTTGTGAGGACAGGTGAGCATGAGGCACACTCAGATATATACACAGTATATAACAAAAAGAAAAAGAAAAAAAGAAAGACCTACATCAATTAAAACACACACACACACACACACAGTAGAAGAACACCTGAATTATTTATTGAGTGTTGGAGACAGGTGGGAGCGAGCGGTGTTCGGCTCACCTGTGAAATATTCAAAAGAGTTCACTGAGGCAAAGGATGAAAATATTGACTCCTCCTCCCTCACCCGTGTAGGTGTGGGGGAGGGAGGGGCGAGAGGTGATGGAGGGGGGGGGGAGGATTGTTAGAAAATATTGATGAAATGATGTAAAATGATGAGTACTTGTAGGTGTTGGAGTGAGGGAGGAGGGCGGGAGGCGGTGGTAGGGGTAGGTTGGGGGGGCGGGAAGAGGTGATGGTGGGGATTTTGGCATCAGGAGGAGGGGAGGAAGAGGGGTCGGGCCTCTAGCGGGGGGGTTGGGGGGGGGTAACAAAAAGACGTGTTAAAAATATTGATGAAATGAAGTTAAATTGATGAAAAAATAAAGTTGACTAAAGAGAGAGAGAGAGATGGTATAAGATAGAATTTGTGTAATATATAATGAAAAAAAATATAGAAAAGGAGACGAGAGTTAAGGGTGTAATAAACGTAATTATGAAAGGTGAATCAAAACAAGACTGAAAATAACGTGTATTGATCCAAGCAAATAATGAAATACAAAATAATAAAAAAATATGATGAATTCAATAACAATAATGGAAAAACTAAAACGAATCGAACGAAAAAAAATTAACGAAGCGACGAAAAGAAACTGAATAATAATAACAAAAAAACTGAGATGGAACAAAAGGTAAAATGAATAAATCAGAGGAAAACAGAATGAATAAGACTATAGAGTATTGTAAGATGTTAAGTGATTGATGGACGTGTGTGTGTGTGTGTGTGTGTGGTACAGATGAGGAAGGTACTACACGGCAGGTGTGTAATTTACCAGTTCATAAGGTGTGTTTTTTTTAGGATCTTGTGATATGCTCCAGTTCTCAAGGGTTCCAGTACTCCGGGGCTCCAGGGTTCCAGGGCTTCAGGGGGGTTCCGGGGCTTCAGGGGCTGCAGGGTTCCAGGGCTGGGGCTTCAGGGCTGCAGGGTTCAGGACTCCAGGGGGGCTGCCAGGGGGCTTCAGGGCTGCAGGGTTCACTTCAGGGCTTCAGGGCTGCAGGGTTCAGGGCTTCAGGGCTGCAGGGTTCAGGACTCCAGGGCTTCGGGGCTTCGGGGCAGGTTCCAGGACTCCAGGGCTTCGGGGCTTCGGGGCTGCAGGGTTGCTTGTAGATGAACGACCATCACCTTGTCTCTTCGTGTGTCTACTTGAAGCACTTAACCTGATCACTGTCTGACACACACACACACACACACACACACACACACCAGAACAGTACTTATCAACAGGAGTCCAGTTGTTGTTATGTCTCTACAAAATGATTCACTCACAGTTGATTAAAATGATTGCGATATGACGAAAGTTAGGTTAGGTTGGTTTAGGTTAGGTTGGTTTAGGTTAGGTTGGTTTAGGTTAGGTTGGTTTAGGTTAGGTTGGTTTAGGTTAGGTTGGTTTAGGTTAGGTTGGTTTAGGTTAGGTTGGTTTAGGTTAGGTTGGTTTTGGTTAGGTTGTTTTAGGTAAGGTTAGGTTAGGTTTTAGAATGCAGCCGTAAACCGTATAACATCTCCTTGAGTATAATCCATCGTACAATACACAATATAAACGACATTATAACAGAGAGACGAATCACCAACAAACAAGGAAAATAATATTCTTCAGGTATGCGATTGTTGTGTTTACCTGTGACGGGGGGCAGGTAAGGAACACGCTGATTACCTGTTTTAAAGTGTCCTTGTGGTGAATATTTCCCTTAAATGAAGATGAATGACGTATACGTGTCCCAAACTGGTTGTTAACTTGAGGTGAAACATAAACATAACAATTTAAATTTAACATCAACAGTAGGTAACATGATTAACAGATAATCTTTAGGGGGAAAAAATCAATGTTTATTATGTTTGGTTGTAAGTTTG